TGGCCATGAATTTGGTAGGGCCCTAAGTAATGAGGAAGGGAAAGTGACTGAGGGTGAGTGTTACAGTGAGAGCGAGGGTATGGAAACAGCAGTAATGGTAGAGGGGAAAGGGAGTGGTGGTGAGTGTGACAGTGAGGGGAGATGGAAGGGGCAGGAATGAGGGAGGGGAAGGTGAGTGGGGAGAGTGTGACAGTAGGCCATGGATGAAGCAAACTACTAGGCATGTACTTCATTTTAGTAACTTCTAAGCAATAATATGGATTTAGTCCATATATTGTAGCCTTCTAAGTATGCTGCCATACCATCCAGATAATTCCGATCACCATACATTTCTCTCTTTCTGAAACAGAAATGTATATGATCAGATTTAGGTGTTTGGAAATCAGTATATTGCTTAAAGAAAAGGAGTACTTGTGGCACCTTAGAGACTAACACATTTATTTGAGCATAAGCTTTCGTGAGCTACATCGTGATGCATCCGATGAAGTGAGCTGTAGCTCATGAAAGCTTATGCTCAAATAAATGTGTTAGTCTCTAAGGTGCCACAAGTACTCCTTTTCTTTTTGCGGATACAGACTAACATGGCTGCTACTCTGAAACCTGTCAGTATATTGCTTGTATTTCTCATGCTTGCCATGCAACAATTCTGCATGAATCATCCAGTTTATTGTTTAACATTGGACTGCTTGTTAATTCTGTAAGGAATCTTTTGGAAATGATTTCCAAATGATTTGTCATCAGTTTTCAGACAGTCTTTCAAAACTCAATTAAAACATGCTATTTCCCTTCCCACTCTGTGGCCGTCTAGTCCCCGCCTACTTCATTCCCTCCCTCCTTCACTTCCTAATCCCCTCCATCTTTATTCTTCAGTTCTCTTCCTGCTCCATCTCTTTACAATCTGCTGCCACCTCACTCCCTTGACTCCTTTCTTCTCCTCTTTTAATCCTCTCCTAATCCTCCTTCTGCTTCTTCTTGTCACCTCCTGCCATCTTATTCTCCTTGTCCCCAACCTTTTCTATGTCCTCTTAAACACAGTGATGGAATAAATACTGTGAAAAAGAAAAAAAGTCACATAACGCTCAGGGCCAAACTCCATTTGTGCATGTGTGTTTTTGTGCATATACCTTGTTGTTGCCCTAAAACCTGTGCATGCACGTGACATATTCTAACTCTTGCTTGTGCAAAATTTTCATACAGCAAAGGTATTCTTGAATCACTCGTCTCCTTACAGACCCTCTCATACCACCTTAAGCTTCTGGATCTGTCTGAAAAAGGACATTAAAAATAACATTCAAGCAAATCTGATTGTTGTAGGCTGGAATTTATTTTTAGTTTGACTCCGCTTTTTCCATTTCAAAAGCATCATGGGACTTCACTCTGTCCCAGTCTGTCACCCCCTAGCTATCACTTCCCTCCCTTGCTTCATCTCCATTCTACCATACTTCAATGCTCTTCTGTGTATACTTCAGAAAACGTCTGGTTTGTCTGTGTTTGAAAGCCCCAGGCTCCTTAGTGGTAACACCTGTCCAACCAGTCAAAGAGGCTGCAGATTTGGAGTTGATGGGGGCCTTGAGGGGAGGCAGAGGCAGCTTTCTCCATTCAACATGACACTGTGGGTTAATAGAAGGAAAATATTGACATTTTATTAAATTACTCCTATAGGTCGGATCATGTAACATGTCCAAGATCTAAACAATGATCCTGTTCGGGAGGAATGTGAGGTTGAGACTGATGAGATAAACCTTTTGCTGGAATATCTCTCCGAGCTCACTAAATTGCTTCCTTTATTTAATTACAAATTAATTGAAAACACTCCTAGTTCAACACAACAATACTTAGAACCTGATTTGTTGATAATATCTTAATCCCCCTGTAATATTCCCATAGACTGTACCATGATTATGTCATCAGTTTTACACTTTTAGAACCTTGACACATCTGGCTATATAGATCTCATTAACATGAATGAGAAAAATGTGTATAGCCATGGAGTACACAAACCATTATTGACCCCAGTCAGGACAGTGCTGACATACATAATAAAGAGGTTCACTGCAGCTGGTGCAATGTTGGTAACATATGAGCTAACAGAGGAAAGAAGAGGAGGGTGTGTCTGTATTGGCAAATAGAGAATAAAGTGATGGTAGGGAAGGAAGCATGAAATCTATGTAGAAAAAGGACCGATTATGGAATTGTGTAAATTAGATTAAAAGATCTAGAAGATCACATCTTATCGGCCAACTGCAGCTCCCACCTGCAGCCAGTTCTCCTCGCTACACTTTCCAGTGCTTTATCCTGTCCTCCTTTTCTTTTTTTGTGATTAATTTTTTATTAATTTTTAAAAAGAAACACAAAAATATAAAAAGGAAAATGACTTATAGCTTGTATATGTCACCAAATAGCTCACGTTTCATAGGATAGCCCATAAAATTATGCAACTTTACAACCTGTTGAAGCTGCAAGACCAGACAACACAAAATCCAATGGTATCACACAGACAAAACATGTTAGGCTGGGGTAATAATAAAAAGGCATACCCAAATGGGCAAAAAAAAGCAGAGAAGAGATGGTGTGGGAAGAGGAAGAGAAAAAGCAGAGAGGTCAGGTGGAATGGAAGTCTGGCATTATTGGGCAAGCTCAGCATTCTTTATCCAAATGTATCAAGAAATAGGGTCCAAATTTCTTTGAATTCATATAATTGTTCTCTGTGTTAATAAGCTATGCTTTCTTTTGATGCTAAATCGGACAGGTCTGAATATCACTGCTGAATTTCAGGAATAAGCCTACTCCATTTTTATAAAATTATGCACTTGGTATATATTAGGATATAATTTTTAGCTGATGTTTGGTTGCTGACACTTTTGTATCCAATTCTTTTCACAGCTGCCTGGCTGTTGGACAGTTTGTCATGGTGTATGTGCACCCCATCCCTTTTCAGGGGTGGATCAGTGTTGTGAGAGCACCACAGTTGCTGTCTACCAGACTGTCCTCGAACTCAAGATAGTGTGTTTCAAAATCCAGAGTCAATAATTCTGTCATTGGATTCAGGGATGTGTGGCCTAATTGCCAGAGTCAACATAGCCACCCTTGGGTTCCGGGCAGCACAGCCTAATTGCCAAAGTCACTATGACTGCCCTTGGGTTCAGCACTGTACGGCCTAATGGCCAGAGTCAATATGGCTGTCCTGGAGTTCAGCTCTGTACGGCCTAATGGCCAGAGTCAATATTACAGCCCTTGTGTTCAGGGTCGCATGGCGTCATGGCCAGATCTGGAGGCTGCCACCAAAGGAGGGGTGGTGGCCAGGGTAGGGGGACCCAGGCCCTCCCAACTTCACCAGGTCCCAGCCCAGGACCCTGTCAGCGGCGAGTGTGTTCACCACCCAGTCAGCAGGGATCTTATTGCAACACACTGACCTTACATGGGTGGGAGATACCACTTACTCCGCCTCCCTGGGCTACTTCCTACTGGGTTTCCTGGAGCTGTAGTCCATATATCGTTGGGGTTTCTGGTTCCCTGGCACAGGGAGCTCCCTGGAACTCTGACTCCCACTGATTGACTGTACGTAGCAGGTCTCCAGTCTGGTCCCTGGGATCTCTGGTTCCCACAGTCAGGGGCTATAGTGGCTCCTGGCCTGAAGCCTCCACCAAGCATGTTTCCTCCTCAGTGGCCAGACTGAGCTGAGCTGCTCTTTTTCATACTAGCACAGCAGTTGGTACATGCCCAGTATGGTCTGAGGGGGCGGGACTTCCCCCACCCACCTTTCTTGCCTAGTGCGGGCTACGCACACCCCAACACACAGTCCCATAGCAAATGCATCAGGGCTACTTATTCTTTATTACAGTGCCAACAAACATCAGAAAACAAGGCCCACATCTTGCACTACCTCTGTGGCAGCCAATACATTTTAAATAGTCATCCTGTTGTCAACCAATACTCCAAGGTCCTTCTCCTCCTCTGTTACTTCTAATTGATGCGTCCCCAGCTTATAACTAAAATTCTTGTTATTAATCCCTAAATGCATGACCTTACACTTCTCACTATTAAATTTCATCCTATTACTATTACTCCAGTTTACAAGGTCATCCAGATTCTCCTGTATGATACCCCGGTCCTTCTCTAAATTGGCAATACCTCCCAACTTTGTATCATCCGCAAACTATATTAGCACCCGAATGAAAAGGTCAAACCTCCTAGCCAGATGTAGATGGTAAAAAGCTGCTCGGGTCACTGCAGTAATATGATTGTCAAACAACAGCAGTAAGAATTTAGTTGTCATACAAAGGGACGTGGCAGTGCATTAAATCAGATCCCCCCGTTGCTGAGAAAGCTCTGTTTTCTGTACACACATGACTAAAATCATGCAAAGTGAATATTCCTCAGGTCGGATGGGCTTATCCCTAGAAGGGCTCTGAAAATGAGGACTGAAATCTTGCAGATTATTCAACTGGTTGCCTATAAAAAGAACTGGATGCTGGGTTGATATGCTTTCAGTGGCCTGTGTTGCTAAGTAAGTGAGCTGCTCCAGTTTGAACCAACTGGAACTTTTTATTTTAGAGCTGGAAGTTTCCTTCTCAGGTACTAGTGAACTGTAATAACCAACCCCAGAGGTCATGAATGAATGGAACACCATGGTGATATCCAAGTCTAGTAAGATGGGGCATGGTGCCATGGCCAACCAAAGGCAGAAGAGGGCATTTTTTCCAGCTGTAGCTAACTAGGTATCCAGTAGTAGTGGGGAGTTCAGGATCCCAAATTTTGGTCCATTTTGATCTGAACATCGATGTCCTAAATAATATAAAGGCGGTAGAGGCCATAGCAAGTGATCAAAAGATACCCTTAAAAGAGTGAAAAAAGGATTTGAAAAGCCAGTGAACTGCCTCTGAAGGTATCTGCTGTTTTCCCCTTGCTCAGGGTGGGGCTTTCACCTCCACATTCCCCTTTTATAATAGTTACTGTTAGGCATCCATTCCACATATGAACTAATAGATATATTATCAAACATGCAGCTACAGCATATTATTCCTTGCCTTTCATTCTACTTGCCAGTGCAGCTCCAAGCCGTGCCATTCACCCGGAAGAAGGCTGTCAGTAAAGAGCAACTTTACTGCACTGATAGTGCTCAAAGATTAACTAAAATCTATAACATTGCTAAAGAAATCTGCAGAAAAACACTTTCTAAAGATCCCTGGCTGCCTACAAATCCCTCCATAAGCCACATAATTGGTAACCAAATTTCCCATGAGCTATGTCCACATAAGCTAAAGTCACACAAATAATAACCTATCATATGCCATCATGCAGGACTTTAATACACACACACACACACACACACACACACACACACACACACACACACACAGAGTCTGACTAGATTTAAAGAGATTCTCAATAACCAAAGATCTCAACCAATTAATAAATATTTTTATAATTATAGAAAAATGTATAATGGCACCAAACAAAACAATGAGAAAAGCTATCTGATTTCTCTTCTGAAGTATCCTCTGTGGAAATCAACAATTTTGGCTTCCTCAGGAGTCCCAGGTACACATCTGACCAATTTTTAATGTATCCAGCATCCTATTGACTTTTCTAGCGGCAGCTGCACACTAGTTAGATGTCTTCATGTAACTGAATATGAGATCTCAGCCTATCAGCATTATGCATATCAGAAGCTGATTAGTTTTGCCATTTATATTATCAGTATTACCAACCCCAAACTTTAAAAAACCACATCAGGCCCCACAAAAATCATAAAATTGGCTTCAAAATCATATTTTAAAAATAGTAAATTTGAAACCATTTTCATTTTCCTTCTTTTTTTTTAAAGCTTTTAGGATTGATATTTTTCAGCTTCACAGCCACAAAGCTAGAAACTACCTTCTTAAAAGAATGAAAGCTGAGATACTCACATATTCACATGACCCGGGAGCTGTGGCTTTAAGTGAAACATCAAATATCACAAGACGTGTAATAAAATCAGGAAGTTGGCAATACACTAGCCCTGATGGAAAGTGGACATTGTCCAGTTCTTTGTTGCTCTCCGTGGAAAAAACCACGTATTTGGTTGTCCTCTTCACCATGGCATTTAGCAAGTCTTCCAGATCATGGGAGGCAACAGACTGGATGATACAAGTTGTATCATGCTCTTTTGAACAGATCCAGGACCTAGGGGATCTTGATGCTGGCAATCCTGGTGGGGACTAAGAGGTCCTGTGTGTTCACCCTCTCAAGATGACCCGTCATCTTATTACATAGATGCATGTAGGAGTGTGTGGCCATCCCTCCTTGTCGATCTCAGAGGAAGGCCAAGCCCCCTCGCTGTCTCGTTCCTAGAAAGGCAATCTGGTAAAGGGAAAATTAGATGTCTTTGATGCCCAGGCTCTCTGAGCTGGGCTGGGCAGTATTCAACCTCTGGGGCTCAAGCCCTCAGGCAGGGTGGAGCCCTAGCTGTCTAGAGTTCTGGCCCTCGAGCAGGGAAGAACAGTCAATAGTCTAGGAGCCAAGCCCTCAGGCAGGGCAAAGGAGCAATCAGTCTAGGATCCTAGGCCCTTAGGCCAGGGGGAGCAGTAAATAATTTAGGAGCTGAGCCCTCAGGCATGGTTGAGCAGGGAACAGTCTAGGGCATCAGTTCCCAAACTGGGGGGCGCATCCCCCCAGCGGGGCATGAAGAAATTCCAAGGGGGGTGTGAGGCTGTGAAATTTTCATAATGAAAAAAAATGTATCAGCGTAAAATTTATTTATTTATTTATTTATTTAATAGACCAACAGACAATACAATATTCATATTTCTGTATACATAACTATTCACAAAATTGTCCAATTACAGGCCTGTATTATTTAACTACAATAAAGTATTAACAATCTTCTCATTTTTGATTATGAGTAGACAAGTATACTCAGACAAGAATAAAGGTAAAATAATAATAAAAATACAACTATAAATAAAAGTATATAACTGCAATGTTTTCAAATTTCATACCATGAAATGCGAATATATTTTATTTTTTTGCCTTTCGATGTGTAGGCATGCTGTTTTGGTTGCTGGGGAGGCCGAAGAACAATGTAGAAAGCGATGGAACTTTTTAAAACTTCCTAGCTCGCTCACGAGAGTGTTCGAGACTGTTCTATCGTGGGAGTGGTTACCTCCACCACTCACCATGCAAGACCGGCTACTTGCTGGACTGGTGGTGGGTTGTATATATAGAACGTAATAGTAGAAGTAAATAAAGGTTTGCAGTAACTCAAATTAACTCAAATTGCATCCGATGAAGTGAGCTGTAGCTCACGAAAGCTTATGCTCAAATAAATTGGTTAGTCTCTAAGGTGCCACAAATACTCCTTTTCTTTTTGCGAATACAGACTAACACGGCTGTTACTCTGAAACCTGTCAAATTAACTTGTGTCCATTATTATTCACAAATCAGGAAAATTATTTTTATACATTTTTTTTATTCGTATATTATAGCTGTGATTAAGAAAAGGAAGTACGATGAAGACTACATTAAGTATGGTTTCACTGTCATGGAAAAAAAAGGAATCGATCATCCTCAATGCATAGTATGGCACGCAGTTCTCAGCAATGATGCCTTGAGACCTAGTTGTCTTGAGCAACACTTGACAAAGAACCACAGTGCTTTGAAAGACAAACCAAAAGAGTTTTTTGCTGCTAAACTTCAAAATTTAAAATGCATGAAGCTGGACACTACTGGAACTTTTCATCAAGCGTCAGCCAAAGTGGTAGAAGCATCTTATGAACTGTCGTTGCTCATTGCTAAAGCCAAGGAAGTGCACATGATAGGAGAAACTCTTGTGAAGCCTTGCTTATTGAAAGCAGCTGATATTGTGCTTGGTGCCAAAGGCAAGAAAAAAATATTAGAAATTTCGCTTTCCGACAATTCCATGAAACGTCACATCAATGACATGGTGAAAGATCTAAAACTGTGAGTTGTGGAAGCAGTGAAAGCTTCCCCTTTTTTCGCAATTCAGTACGACGATACCACTGATGTAGCACAATGCTGTCAGTTGCTCGTCTATTTTCGATTCATTAACGATGGAACTGTGAAAGAAGAACTGCTTTTTTTGAAGGAATTGACGACCACATCAAAGGCTTCTGATGTTATGAAAATAGTTTCCAACTTTTTTGAAGAAAATGGACTTTCATGGGAAAAACTGGTTGGTGTATGCATCGACGGTGCTCCAGCAATGCTTGTCTCTCACTCTGGATTTGTGACGCTGGTGAAAGAAAAAAATCCTGCCATAACTACGACTCATTGCGTCATACACAGACAAGCATTGGCTGCTAAAACCCTTCCAGATGACCTACGTGACTCGTTGAATTTGGCCATCAAAGTTGTCAATTTTGTGAACAACAGCGCTTTAAATACAAGTCTTTTTGCAGCTCTTTGCATGGATTTGGGAGCGGATCATAATATTCTTTTGTTTCACGTGGAGGTACGATGGCTTTCCAAAGGGAACATGCTTTCGAGATTATTCAGACTGAAAGACGAAGTGGAAATTTTCCTCAAGCAACAGGAAAAGGAAGAGTTATATCGTGCATTTACGGACCAAACATTTCAACTTTCACTGGCATACTTCGTGGACATTTGTGAATCTTTGAACAGTCTCAGTTTGAAGCTGTAAGGAAACAATGCTGCAAACATTATAATGCACCACGATGCCATCACAGAGTTTATGGAAAAAATCAAGCTTTGGAAATGTTGAACGCAAGCTCAGATGCCTAACTTTTTTTTGACTTTTCCAACATTTTCATCACTTGCTGAAAATGACGGTTTCCAAGAACTTTGTAAAGAGGATGCGAAGAACAAAACTGTGTTTCATCTGGACTGCCTTGCTGACGAATTCATCTGCTATTTTCCAGACAACTTTTCTGGCAACCCCATTAATAAATTAGCACGTAATCCGTTCAACGTTGATGTTGATTCATTGCCAGAAGTATTGTAAGAACAAGCATTCGAAATGAAATACGATTCAAGTGCGAAAGATATTTTCGAAAACTTAAGCCTGGAGGAATTTTGGATAAAATATTTCCCAATTTACCCGAAAGTCGGAGAAGAAGCGCTACGTATTATTCTTCCATTTTTGTTGACATACCTCTGTGAAAATAGCTTTTCAAGTTTAGTCATAATAAAAACGAAACAAAGGAATCGACTGGATGTTGAAAACTATTTGCGTAGCGCACTTTCATCCTTCAAACCTAGGATTTCCCAACTCATGAAGCATCATCCTTCACATTAAATTTGTTTTGTTTATGCTATTTCTTATTTTAAATTACATTTTTATTAAATTTTTTTGACAAGAAAAACTATTTGTGCTTATTTTTAATTTTAAATAAAAAAATGTATACCAAGTTTTTGTGTTTATTTTTAATTTTAAATTATGAATTGAATTTGTTAAAAGGGGGGTTGCATGATGGTAAAGGAGAGGTGGGGGGGGTGAGGGTTTCTCGAAAATTAAAACGGGGGCATGATGCCGAAAAGTTTGGGTCGAGGGGCTCAGCCCTCAGTCAGTGTACAGTACCAAACAGTCTAGGAGCTCAGCCCTCAGGCAGGGCAGAGCAGAGAATACTCTAGGAGCCCAGGTCCTTACGCAGGGCAGAGCAATAAAGGGTCTAATGTCCTAGTTCTGGTGGATGATAGACTAACACAGGCCTCCTGGACCACCCGACTCCACTGGGTCCCAACCCAGGGCCCTAACTGTGGTGGAGTGTTTCGCCACTGGATCAGTGGGGAATCCAGCTGCAACACGCTGACCTGAATTCAGGCAGCAATGCAGCCAGACTAGAGTCAGCTGTCCCTGGGCTACTTTCAATCCTTCCCTCGGGGTGTACCTGAATCTCAGGGTCATCCTCTGCCTCCCCGGGGTACACTGCCAGTGGCAGTCCTAGCAGCTCCTTGGTATCTTGGGTGTCTGGCAGCTCTGGAAGATCTGATGAGTTCTTGGGGCATCAGAGGTCCTCTTCGGCTCCCCACTCCAGCAGTGGATGGGGAGCATCTATCTCCCTTAGCAGCTTCAGCCGAACTGAGTTGCAGGGCCGGCCTTTTGTAGTTTCTGTTCCTGTCCTGCCCCTCTACTTCTGGCCGGATGGGCGTGGACTTCCTGGTTCCGCCCACCAGTGAGTGTGTGGCCATCCCTCCCTGTCAAACTCAGAAGGAGGCCATGCCCCCTGGCTACAGTGCACAATGGCCACTGAAGTTAGCCCTTACCACTGGATTATCTGGGGCTCAGTGAGCTCAAATAAGGTCCACCTTGGATCATAAGCTCTGTTGGGAGGATAGCACTGTCTTCTCTGCCTCTGAGTTAAGGGCAAGTCTTGCCCTCCTCCTTCCTTTACCTCACTTGCCTTAAGATATACCACCATAACACAGTCAGGTGCTATGAGCCCCTAACTTTGGGCACGCTGTATCAAACTAACAAGGAGTTCAACTTTGATGAGAACCCTACAGTAAAAAAATTATTGTGCATATCATAAACCACAGATTCACTCTACAACAGAGGAGTTTGCCTGGGATCTGCGTTGGTGAGTATCTGGGTATCTGAGTGTGTGTTTGGTGAGAGGATCGGAGTGTTTGTAGTGAGGGCAGCTTGAAAGTTTGAGCAAGTGCTTGATTGGTTGGCTGAAAAGGGCGGGAGTTGGGAGTATTTTGTTTCAGGTGAGCCTGGCTGTTTAAAAAAGCCGGTGCTCCGCGAACCAGCTGAGCGGCAGGGAACCAGCTGAGCAGCGGGGGACAGCAGAGCAGCAAACAGCAGGAGTTTGCCTGGGAGTTCGCCTGGGGTGAGCCCACTGAGGTTTACACCCTAACGACCTCTCTGAGTAATTAGTGCATCTCCTGAGGAAGCTCGTAGTAGGACGGTAATATGGATGGGGAGTGTTCAGCTGTTGTGACCTGCACTGGGTGTGCCATGTTTGTCTTTCTTCCACAGGACAGAAGCGACTTTGTGTGTACAAAGTGCAAGCTGGTCTCCATATTGGAAGAGAAGGTTCAAGGTCTGGAGCAACAGGTATTGACCCTGCGTTGCATAAGAGAAACTAAAGATTTCCTGGACAGATGTCAGGATATGCTTCTACAGGCACAAGGTTCTGAAGATTCAGAGCAGGCTGCGCAGCGGGGACAGGAGGATGGTGAAGAAATTTGGCAACATGTGACCTCCAGAAGAAGAAGGGGAAACGTCCATGTACCAACAACGCAGATACAGGTAAGTAACCGTTTTCATGTTCTCTCCACAGGTACCATTGTGGGGAGTGGCCCAGATGATACGTCTGGGGGAAGGGAACAGAAGGAAACTCCACCAGTTGAAAGGCATGAGATGCACTGTCCTAAGGTTGGGGGTTCCACGACCACCACTCCCAAGAGAAGGAGGCGGGTGGTGGTGGTCGGGGACTCTCTCCTCAGGGGGACTGAGTCATCTATCTGCTGCCCTGACCGGGAAAACAGAGAAGTCTGCTGCTTGCCAGGGGCTAAGATTTGCGATGTGATGGAAAGTCTGCCGAGACTCATCAAGCCCTCGGACCACTACCCCTTCCTGCTTTTCCACGTGGGCACCAATGATACTGCCAAGAATGACCTTGAGCAGATCACTGCAGACTAAGTGGCTCTGGGAAGGAGGATAAAGGAGTATGAGGCGCAAGTGGTGTTCTCGTCCATCCTCCCCGTGGAAGGAAAAGGCCGGGGTAGGGATCATCGAATCGTGGAAGTCAATGAATGGCTACGCAGGTGGTATTGGAGAGAAGGCTTTGGATTCTTCAACCATGGGATGGTGTTCCAAGAAGGAGGAGTGCTAGGCAGAGACGGGCTCCACTTAACGAAGAGAGGGAAGAGCATCTTCGCGAGTAGCCTGGATAACCTAGTGAGGAGGACTTTAAACTAGGTTCACCGGGGGAAGGAGACCAAAGCCCTGAGGTAAGTGGGGAAGCGGGGTACTGGGAGGAAGCACGAGCAGGAGCGTGTGAGAGGGGAGGGCTCCTGCCTCATACTGAGAACGAGGGGCGATCAGCGGGTTATCTCAAGTGCCTATATACAAATGCACAAAGCCTGGGAAACAAGCAGGGAGACCTGGTGGTCCTGGCAAAGTCAGGGAATTATGATGTGATTGGAATAACAGAGACTTGGTGGGATAACTCGCATGACTGGGGTACTGTCATAGATGGGTATAAACTGTTCAGGAAGGACAGGGAGGCCAGAAAAGGTGGAGGAGTTGTACTGTATGTAAGGGAGCAGTATGACTGCTCAGAGCTCTAGTATGAAACTGCAGAAAAACCTGAGAGTCTCTGGATTAAATTTAGAAGCGTGAGCAACAAAGGTGATGTCGTGGTGGGAGTCTGCTATAGACCACCGGACCAGGGGGATGAGGTGGACGAGGCTTTCTTCTGGCAACTCGCAGAAGCTACTAGATCACACGCCCTGGTTCTCATGGGCGACTTCAATCATCCTGATATCTGCTGGGAGAGCAATACAGCGGTGCACAGACAATCCAGGAAGTTTTTGGAAACTGTAGGGGACAATTTCCTGGTGCAAGTACTGGAGGAACCAACTAGGGGCGGAGCTCTTCTTGACCTGCTGCTCACAAACCGGGAAGAATTCGTAGGGGAAGCAAAAGTGGATGGAAACCTAAGAGGCAGTGACCATGAGATGGTCAAGTTCAGGATCCTGACACAGGAAGAAAGGAAAGCAGCAGAATATGTACCCTGGACTTCAAAAAAGCAGACTTTGACTCCCTCAGGGAACTGATGGGCAAGATCCCCTGGGAGAATAACATGAGGGGGAAAGGAGTCCAGGAGAGCTGGCTGTATTTTAAAGAATCCTTATTGAGGTAACAGGGACAAATCATCCCAATGTGTAGAAAGAATAGTAAATATGGCAGGCGACCAGCTTGGCTTAACTGTGAAATCCTTAGTGATCTTAAACACAAAAAAGAGGCTTACAAGAAATGGAAGATTGGACAAATGACCAGGGATGAGTATATAAATATTGCTCGGGTATGTAGGAATGGAATCAGGAAGGCTAAATCACACCTGGAGTTGCAGCTAGCAAGGGCTGTTAAGAGTAACAAGAAGGGTTTCTTCAGGTATGTTGGCAATAAGAAGAAAGCCAAGGGAAGTGTGGACCCCTTACTGAATGAGGGAGGCAACCTAGTGACAGAGGATGTGGAAAAAGCTAATGTACTCAATGCTTTTTTTGCCTCTGTCTTCACGAACAAGGTCAGCTCCCAGACTACTGCACTGGGCAGCACAGCATGGGGAGGAGGTGGCCAGCCCTCTGTGGAGAAAGAAGTGGTTCGGGACTATTTAGAAAAACTGGACGTGCACAAGTCCATGGGGCCGGATGCGTTGCATCCGAGAGTGCTAAAGGAATTGGCGGATGTGATTGCAGAGCCATTGGCCATTATCTTTGAAAACTCATGGTGATCGGGGGAAGTCCCGGAAGACTGGAAAAAGGCTAATGTAGTGCCCATCTTTAAAAAAGGGAAGAAGGAGGATCCTGGGAACTACAGGCCGGTCAGCCTCACCTCAGTCCCTGGAAAAATCATGGAGCATGTCCTCAAGGAATCAATTCTGAAGCACTTAGAGGAGAGGAAAGTGATCAGGAACAGTCAGCATGGATTCACCAAGGGCAAGTCATGCCTGACTAATCTAATTGCCTTCTATGATGAGATAACTGGTTCTGTGGATGAAGGGAAAGCAGTGGACGTGTTATTCCTCAATTTTAGCAAAGCTTTTGACACAGTCTCCCACAGTATTCTTGTCAGCAAGTTAAAGAAGTATGGGCTGGATGGATTCACTACAAGGTGGGTAGAAAGTTGGCTAGATTGTCGGGCTCAACAGGTAGTGATCAATGGCTCCATGTCTAGTTGGCAGCTGGTATCTAGCAGAGTGCCCCAAGGGTCAGTCCTGGGGCCGGTTTTGTTCAATATCTTCATTAATGATCTGGAGGATGGTGTGGATTGCACCCTCAGCAAGTTTGCGGATGACACTAAACTGGGAGGAGTGGTAGATACGCTGGAGGGGAGGGATAGGATACAGAGGGACCTAGACAAATAGGAGGATTGGACCAAAAGAAATCTGATGAGGTTGAACAAGGACAAGTGCAGAGTCCTGCACTTAGGATGGAAGAATCCAATGCACCACTACAGACTAGGGACCGAATGGCTAGGCAGCAGCTCTGCAGAGAAGGACCTAGGGGTGACAGTGGACGAGAAGTTGGATATGAGTCAACAGTGTGCCCTTGTTGCCAAGAAGGC